ACGCGAAGGGATTGACGCAAACACAGCAAGGATTAGCGCAAACGCGAAGGGATTGACGCAAACACAGCAAGGATTAGCGCAAACGCAGCAGGGATTGACGCAAAACGCAAGAGCACCTGCACTTTTTTTATTTCATTTTTAATGCATTAAACAACAATACACAATACAATTTACAAAAGATAAATGTAAAAGAACTAAACTAGAGACTTCAAGTCCAAACAAAAGGAAACGTCCATTGAATTATACAAAAGAACTTTTAAGATACAGTACGGTAGTACAATCAAGACAGTAAATATTTTCTCAATTCAAAATTTGATTGATGACTGTAGTCAAAACATTTTTGAATGATATAATATAGTTCGCGTATATTATGACGTAATTGACAATTAAATTACACTACAGTGTATTTCATTCCATGTTTATTATTATTATTATCATCATTATTATTATTATTTATTATCATCATTAATTTATTCAGGCAAAAACACAATGACATACAAGTATACAATAACAAAGTAAAAATGAGTTGCCAGGAATGAATAAAAGTAACAGAGAAGCTACTGTCATCAAGTAGATGTATTCCTCCACCACCATTCTACTGTTTGTTATACTATTTCATCCATTCAATCAGTACTTTCTATACAACAAAAAATAAACTCGAATACATTCGAATTATGCATCCCGGGGTAAGAGCGTTCAAGTCATAAGGTCGAAGCCCGCATACCCCATATACAAACAATATACTCTGACTAAATTTTTTAACTACGGTATCTGATACTTTTAATTTGTTAGCTCATTCAAGTTTTGATATAGTGAAGCAGGGACGTATCCAGGGTGGGAGCTGCGGCTCCCGCTCCCCCCCCCCCCACCTTTGTACACATTGCTGAAATTTTAAAGCTTATTCTTTAAAGTTGTCCTGGATATTAAGTAGATCCCTGATAAAAGATCATGAGAAATTTGTTGGCGTTTCATTTTGACTATAATGGTAATGTGATGATGATGAATTTTACTATATAAAATTGTCATTTCCGGCCATCTCGAGAGGTACTATTTCCTCAAATTTTCTCACCTCAGCCCCAGCCATGGTGGGGCTGAGGTGGTTGTGAAACCACGTTTTTGAAGTAGCCCTATGTAAAGCACATACTCAAAGACAATGTTTTTAAGCTTCCTTTCTATGTTTTTTTTTTAATGGTATATCACACACACATTAATAAGAATAAGATCTCTATGGTTGTCAAAAATCCCTGATAAAAGATCATGTTTGTTTAATAATACTACTACTAATAGTAATAAAAATAATAACAATAATCAAAGACAATGTTTTTAAGCTTTGTTTTCTATGGTATACACACACACATAAATAAGATCTCTATGGTTGTCAAAAATCCCTGATAAAAGATCATGAGAATTTTTGTTGGCGCTTCATTTTGACTAATGGTGATGTGATGATGATGAATTTTACTAAAAGTGTCATTTCTGGCCATCTAGAGGTACTATTTCCTCAAATTTTCTCACCTCAGCTCCAACCATTGTGGGGCTGGATGTTTTGAGCAGAGGTGGATTCAAGGCATTTTTTTAAGGACTGTGAAAATCCCTCCCTGGTTCACATCTCTTTCGAATTCCTGGATCTGCCACTGTTGATTTATTTTATAATTATTTTTTCGCTTATTTATAATGCGTCTATTGCAATTTTCACTTTATCCTCTCAAACAGTCCTAAGAACGTTCAGAGTGCGCTACTTCACAGGGGGATTCGCCCCTTGACCCCGCCGGGGGTCATATGTAATTCCTATAATGGCTCCCCTCCCCCCTTTCAAAATTCTGGCTACGTCCCTGTAAGTGAAGATGTGTTTAGAGCATATTGTTTAATTTAATTTATGAGTGACTCTTTGTACTGTTTGAAATTCTTGTATTGAAATTGTGTATCGATGATCTAGGCCTATATGTTATTCCCTGTTTGTTACTATATTTAAATCCATGTTTGTTATACTATAATTTCATTTCAAGTTTGTTATACATTTTGTTAATTGAAATTGGCTTTGAGAGAAATATAAAGGCGACCATAAGTTAAAGTGAAATACATATTGGTTTTTGTAATTCATTTCGGTAAATTAAAGCTTAATAATATATTTTATTTCATTTTTTTTTATTTATTTCAATTTCCAGGTAACAATACAACGAAAAAATAACAATGAGAATACAATACCTTGAGGATTACCATGAGCGCAAACACTATCAGAGCGGCTCTACATATTACATCACTAAACATTTATAAAAACAATTATGTTTCCATATGATCGATGAGACAATATACAACTACAGGTAATAAAATTTAAAAATATGGTGATACTTTTGATAAAGATCATGTCAGGCAATGCCTGAATCGTAGTCGTTGCGAGGCCCTACTTTACATAACATGTTTCGACAGATCCTACTGTCATCACCAGTGTACAGTGATTCTACATAGGCAATCTTATTTATACCATGGAGGAATGTTTATACGAAGCGACACGTCAATCTATATGTAATTCTACCGTATTAAGTTGTAAACAACAAGATCATGAATAAAAACAAATGTACAATAAACGGAATGAAGTGAAATCAGAATGACGAAGTTAAATTACATGGTAGAGTTGTTTGTTGCTGGTCCGGACGCTCGTTGACAGGACATTCAAAATTAATTGTAGTTGGATGGGTTTTCATAAAGACCTTTCAACTTTAATATCCATCCTAAGGAAAAATATGTTTCCGCTACATACCATCAATAAAATAATTTCAAAATATCTTGATTCTGTATGCTCCCCAACAAACGTTAAACGCTCTGAGGCCAATGTAGATGCCACACTCACCACCACTTTTTATTTTAAAATTCCATCATAATATTATAGGCCCCTTTTCAAGGTTGTCTCGCATAAAATGCGTTTGCTTTCCAAGTAATTGTGTAACCATTTCGAATTTAAGTTGTTTTTTTTTCTTCATTTGAAATTAAAAATTTGTTTTCAGTGAAAGATCCTGTCCCTGCCGGCTCCGCTCACTTGTATATAAATTTGTTTGCGCTGACTGAATGCCGACACTTCTCAGAGCACTTGGCCGGCACATATTCAAACACCTTTAAGAATTCTCGCAAATGCATGCAAGCTTGTAGTGAGGCTGTTTCCATATTCTTGACTCCGCCCCATCAACGCACCATCTTAAAATCAAGGAAACATTGCATTCAATGGGAACAGGCCTCACTCAACAAATAACTCTACCATGTTAATTTAACTTTGTTATTCTGATTTCACTTTATTTATTTATACATTTGTTTTTATTCATGATCTTTTTGTTTACAACTTGATACGATTGAACTACGTATAGATTGACGTGTCACAAACTTTACTTCGTATATGTAAGTTTGCCTATATGGAATCTACACTGATGATGATATAGAGCCTAGCAATGGCAAAGTATTTAGGCATTGTTTGACATGATATTTATCAAATGTATCGTCATATTTTTTAATTTTATTAAAAACAATTATACAATCAAATATTTTAAAATCGTCAACAAAATAGAGTAATATACATTACAGCTATATAATAATAAATATATATATATGTGTGTATATATATATTAATAACAACATATGTATATATATTTAATATAAATAATAGGCATAGTACATTGATGATATGTAATTTAATAATATAAAAATAATGTTAACAATAACAATATGATAATAACAACAATAATATTTTTTCTTGAAGTTGATATGATTTTTAGATCTTGTTTTAACACTGTAGTGTTTTAATGACGTCATCAGTGATACTGCCAAAGTTTGGCGGCAGTTAGCCTATCATTGCATGCTGACAATCTCAAAGAATGCAGTCAGGGCAGAAGCTAATGTTAACTTCATGAAAAATTGGCGTCTTCACAAAATTAGCAACAATACTATTTTAACATAGAGCAAATATCATTGAAAAAGGAATAGAACGACAATGTATAATTTAACTTGTCTAGACTACGGCCTTGCCAAATTTTGTGACGAAAGCAACCTAGCAAATTAAACTTAGTAAAGAACATTGATACACATATTAAAATCACAATCCTTCTGGGGACTATAACATTTTATTACGACTAACAAATCTAACATGATAAGCATTAAACAACTGGCCTAATATAATAACACAAACGCCCATAGTTTATTGTAAACTATACTTATACTGTCTCTTATACACATCTAGATGTGTATAAGAGACAGATGGTATACACACACACATAAATAATATCTACTGGAACCGAGCCGCATAACTTGTATTCCACTATTTGCATTCACACCTGGGCTTGTATATAATGATATTGCCTTGGTTTGGCTCTGTAATCATTAGTGGTTGTTTGAATAGTCTGGGCTGTAAAACATGGACAACGTAAATAAGGTAATTGAAAAAGACTGATTCATTACCGGTACATGAATTTAACATTGTATACATGACGTCATAGAATGACGTGAGAAGAGAGCGAATCATATGCAATTGGTAAGGAAGACCAACGAAATCAAGCAAAACATCACAAGTAAAACACTAAATATCGGGGAAATGTGAATTCGATGAACAATAAATCAAAAATAGTACAGTATTTCATGTACACCATTCTACTACTATACACAGTAGCTTATTCATTTTTAGAAACCTTTGACTGTCAACGAAATACAAACATGAGCTGGGTATCATATAATCAAATTAATACATATTATGTTGTCATCATAGGCCTATTCTTTCTCTTCGTTATGAGAGTACGATGCTATTATGAATATAACAATTTTAGTTAACACCACTTTGAGATATACAAAAGAAACACTTGTTTTGAGTGCTTGTCTGCTGCTGTACCACCTGGTCGGTCGGCCGGCCGGTCAGCTTCTTAGTTAAATGCGTTTACAGTACTATCATCGTTGACAGTCAAAAGTTGTCTGTATATTAATATAGAATTAATAATATAACGGATATGACGAATCGCATAGGCTTATTTATTTATTTATTTATTTATTCAACAATATTTTTAGAAGGTGGCTCTAACAGCAATGCTGACTTAAGAGCCCCCTTTCAATTAATTAAAAATACAGATATATAATTTAACTGCAGAGAAGATACGAAAACCCTTAAAATAGAACTTCCCTATAATGAAATTCTTGAAAAAACAAAGAAGACAAGTGAATACAGGAGAGAAACCAGTCAGTATTGATTACTATGATGTATGCTATATCATTTGTTGGGATGAAACAAGAGCACCAATAAAAAAAAAACCAAAAAAAAATAACAAACAAAAAAAAACAAGGTATAAAGTAACCCTAAGTATTCGAACGATGAATCCGATGTAAGAAAATATATCAACGTTAACTGAGAATCTTAGCCATATGTAGGCCTGTAATTCGATAGGAAATACAAAAACACCCGAAAAGCAACTATGATATTAAGCAATTAAATCCGATCGAATCTTCGATGAGAAAATACAAGCAACAAAAACCAGTCATCCAAAGAAAAAGAACTAAGACAGGTTATACAAATTCGAATATGAACAAGAGACCAAGGAGATATAACAATTAATTTTACCTCCTTGAAGACACCAACAAGGACCGATCTTAATATCAGTTAAGCGGATAAGAAAAGGAGAATTATAATACAATTCGTTGAAAAGAAAATGAGAACACAGCCACGGGTAACACAGTCAGTATAAAAAGAGGAAAGTACGAACACTCCAGTAGTCATAACCAAGATGCAGTAGAAGAAATCGATGGGATGAGATGTAAGAATAACCAAAGATTGAGAGACGATTTTTTGATCGATAAAAAATGATGGAGGTGGACAATCACTTCCAGTATGAAGATAGCCTATATTTAAAAAAAAAAAAAACATGTTAGAAAATTTGAGAACAGTCGAAAATTATTTTAAGCACCAAAAGAAGTGACGTAGGTGGATTTTGGTAGATGATTGCATCGTTCTTAAGATCGGAAGCCTGTCAGATTTGTAAACCAGAAATAGAAGTTATCAAAATCAAAAGGATCCCATATCTAGACCACAGTAATGGTAATATAAATCGATATTTTGAATATCATTAATATAAATTATGAGATATATGCGCAGTGACGTAGACAATTGCATTGGTTAATAAAATTGCCGTCTAATATTCAGACTTCTGATAGTTTAACAATTTTGCTAACGACGCTTTGACAAATTTTGTCTAACATTATTATTATTATTATTATTATTATTATTATTATTATTATTATTTATTTATTTATTTATTTATTATTATTTCTGTATTTGATAATGATGATTACCAGTACTGTACTTGATATCTAGTTAAAACAATCAGTAAGAATTAAGTGAATGCTGTCTGCTCTCTAATTGGTTCATCTATTACAATATTTCACACATAACTGAAAGCTTTCACCTTACTCATTCCCCAAATAAAACCTTTCTCATTGTATCGTTTGCTGAATAGTTAAACAATTCATAATCACGATGGTAAAAAGCACGAAGCTTCCTCATCAGACCCATTTCTGCATTTGCATAGGCATTTATAAGCCCATCGGCTGCGTTCGATGAATGATACTCGGGAAACGCCACATAGTCGTTGACGCCTAGCCACTTAAGAAGATACGGACCTTCGATTTCTAGATTCTCAAAATGACCGATGAATTCCGGTTGAAACTTACACGGGTCGCACGACCTATACATCGGTAACCAGTGATCCCTTAAAGGGTCTATATCAAGATCTTCGCCTAAATCAGCGACATACTTTATAAACTCAGAGACGGTTATATTCAAGCCTAACTGTCCCTTTTCTAACTGCATCCATGGCCGGTACAACTTTATAATCTTACTCCCGTATGTCCGCTCCCAGATATGGATCACACCGTCCTTCGCTGTGTAAAACTTGTGAAGGAATGCTGACAGAAATCTAGTGATCGGATCGCGTACAAACATTGCTTTACGGTAATTTTTTAAACGATATTCGATCTCTTCTGACGTGAAAGCGTTGAGTTGCCTTAGACCAGATTTATGTGTTAAATATAAAGATCTAAAGACTCGTTTCCACGTAGAACATGATACTTTTGGTATATAGCAAAATATAAACTTGTGTTTTTCGTCCACTATCATGTGGCCTGTGTCTTTAAATTTGAATTCCGTATACTTGTTTGCGAATTGTTTTTCTTCGCAAACTTTTTGAGTGGATTCTACTCTACTAATGATGATTTTTGCTGGGTGGTTTTCAGTGACGCCTATTTCGCTCTCGTCCTGGAAAAGACAAATCACGCTCTTCATTATCAACAATTATGACTTCACCAGAATTTGGCTAATTTACGTTAAATAATATTATGATCATTATTCTTCACATGCACTGTATATGAACATTAATTGTTAATATACCAATGAAACCAAAGAAAAATGGTCTACATCTAATTTTTTTAATATAATTTTCATATTTCTCTTTTATTATTATTATTATTATTATTATTATTATTGTTGTTGTTGTTGTTGTTGTTGTTGTTGTTGTTGTTATTATTTCTCTGCATATTTTGGTCTACATTGTCCAAAGAAATATATAGGCCTATAATTAAATAAAAAATAAATAGAAAAATAAAATAAAATAAAATAATAAAATAATATAAGGTTATCAGCTTCACTGTTAAGTATGCAGAAGCCTTCTCCAACTTGTTGAACTATTTAGAATCCTAAAGGATTATTTCATTTATATAACTCACTAGAGGGTTTTGCTAATTCTTTGAGAGAAATTGTTGTTTTGATTTGGCTGATGATCACAATGCACTCATCCCTGCACTTGGATATTGTTGTTAAGGTCCCACCAAAAGACTATACCATAGCAAAATTAATTATGATGATATTTATAATAAATATTAATAATAGGCCTAATTTAAAAAATAAATAAAATAAAATAAAAAGTAAATTAATCTAAAAAAGTGAAGCTGAACGAATGGAAAGAGGCGAGAGAAGAAGATTAAACTGAATAAGTTTCGATAATAATGAATATAGTACCGTAAAACCTCGAATAGAAGCATTGGCCTTCTTTTTTTTAAGGACCATTGGATGGGCTTCTTTTTTAGATGGGCTTCTTTTCGAGATTGTCTTCTTTTCAAGATTGCTTTTGGAATTGCTCTATAAATCCGTATAGACCTACTGAAGACATTCGAAATTCTATTAAGTATATTTAAAAAGTCACCAATATCATTGTTCCGATAAGCAGTGAAGCTGTCTCTTATACACATCTAGATGTGTATAAGAGACAGAGAAATAAGGAGTGCATGAGTTTTGTGTGCAAAGGGGCGCTGGATTTTTACCACTTGGCCTATTTTTCTGTTGACTGACGGCGAACACAACGCTATATCCCCGAGGCAGATTTAGTCTAACGATTTCACAAGTCAGGATGCCAAAAAGGCCAAAAGACGGATAACTAAGATGGTATTTTCAGTCATTATCAAGGTATGGGAATATATAATATTTAGATATGGACATGTTATAAATTCTTATAAATTCATTCCTATTTATTTCTTCTGTCAGATAGTTTTCTACGATAATATACCACTCCTGGTGCCAAGAAACAATGCATTAAAAAATTAGAAACATATTTCTATAAAAGCAACGAAAATAGGCATCGCGTTTTTGTTTGATAATAAACGTTGTTTAAATATATTTGTTCAGTTTCGTCGGGTTTAATTATTTTTTAAAATATAAACTAAAGTCCTATTTCTGTACAAGCCCTTTAAAACACATATAAAAACACATTCTTGGATAGGCTTACGCGATCATTTTAACTTTAAATATAAATGTGTCGATGAACGCAAGAATCGATGCGTATTTGTTGACAAAATGGGGAAAAGGTTAGGAGGTTTGGTGGTGGCTTCTATAGCAGCACTAAAACTGACTGTAAACAGCTTTAAGATCGGATCCAGTTTTGTTTTTGGCCGTGCATGGCCGTGATGTCACCTGTATCTGCCAAGTAGGCCGATGTTTAACAGGAAAATTTCAAGATTTAAATAGTTAATCTGATACAGTAATAGCTGGGAGCATTTATATTATCTATGCAATGTGACTGCTCCTTGGTTGTAGCCATGAACTTGCTACCGTACTAATTTACCATGAATAGCTTAATGATTGTTGGTCATTACTCGACATTTAGGCCTAATTACAATACCAAAAATACAATTCCTGTCCAACCGCCTCTGGTTCCCAATTGTCAATATCTCCAGCCTGATTTTAAAATAATCATTATTTAAATAATGACACCTTTTATGTACAAACACAATTCATTGACACGGTAATAATCGTAAATTAGCGTTTACTGAAAGCTAAAGCTTTAGACTAAGGCAGTTGAGAAAAAGATGTCAGAATAATGAAAGATGAAAGGGAAAAAATTGAATAAATTAATAATCTGATAACTTTTGATTCGCCCTAATGATGGATAAAATCATGTTAAGGTATTTTTCAACACGGGTCATGACAATTGAAATGTAAAATACAGATTAATTTTGGTGTAACGATCGACAAACTTACCTATTTTCTAGGCCTACTTATATAAACATTGTTTATGTTTTTTATAGCATTATATATCTTACTTGTTCCGATACTGCACTAGTTGTCAAATTAGTTTCTTTAATATGTATTTCCTTGGCTAGCTGGTTTTGAAATTCGGATACCTGGCCTGTCTCTCCTAGTTTCCGTAGAACCTCAAGTAATACCTTTCTATCTGGAACTACTGTCAAAAATAAGAATTATTCTGTATCCAATATATTTGATATTTACAAAATACAGTAATGTAGGCCTTAAAAAATTATTACATTTCCAGGAGAGGCGATATATAAGGGATGACATTGTGATTGTGAACCCCTACTGGAATAAATTTCATGAGAAGCCATATGTATTGATATAAACTTTGTATAAAGAGCTGGGGCGACCCCTGTGTCCTCCTGACGAAAGTGCGCTGCGGGCTGCATCTGATGGGACCTTGGTGGTTACCGTCTCCTCTAATAAGCGCATTGAGACCAAGGTAATACGCGCTAACATACGTACATCGACACCTTTCTATTGAAAAAAAATTGAATAAAGTAACGGAAAAATATATTGTTACATACCTTTAAAATGTGTTGTTTTTCTGTTCAAGTCATCGTTAACATTCACATACCAAAGTAAACCGAACAAAACCAACAGGACTAACACGGTATATCGCCATGAAAATGATTGTATTGCCATGGTATTCAACTATTCACTTCTGCAAATAACAATTTTGATTGAATGCCATACCGTGTTGAGAACAGGCTTACTTGAACACTAGGCCTAGTTCGACATAGTATAGGCTAGCTAGGGCGGTATGTAACTACAGTCAGCCGTAGTTAAGCTGATACGTAAGGCCTGAATAACTCATCATAATAAGACATATTCATAGGCCTGATTCTCGGTTGACCAGTGTAGCTTTCCAATGGACTAAAGCCTTGTGTTTTGGCAGGTAAAATTTCTGTGATACGTAATTACACAGATTTAAAATATTCATCAATAGGACGGCTGTTTACCCGTATCATTTACACTTTGGACTTGCAACTCCAAATTTAACAGTATGAGGAGGCTATAGGATGTAAAAGACCTTTAGAAAATTTTGCAACTGATGAGCAAATAGAAATAAACACTGCATACTTAGTTTCTCAAACCTTAAATGTTTTCCGGTTCCAAATAAATTAATGAATGTTATGAGATGTCCCACGTAGAATGGCGTGGTAGCACATAACTGACAACTGGTCACACTCGTACCTAAATTTCAACCGTGTGTCACCTCTTTCAAAGCACAGGGCTGAAAAGTAAAGTTGCCATTTAGTAAAATTCGTATTCAGATTTTTCATAGTTTTGTAGGCTACCTCCTTTATATTAATGATAAAATTAATATCAGGCTACGTTTTATATTAGTTATTCAAGTGAATAATTTAAAGCTTACCTTAATATACTCGTATCAAAAATATTCCGTAAAGCAGTGAAGTGCGCCCGTCCATTAAAAAATCGATTGTGGTTGTGAAGTCTACCTGTGGAGAGAAATTTAGTGAGGTTTATGAACATCCAGGATCAATAACCGAATATCGGTTCAGTGATTATATTGAATTTGATTTTTAGTATCATCTTTTGTTGTACATCTGTAATGCGATATATCCCGTTGATGGCACACAGCTTGTGAAAAAGTGACAGCTGCGAAACCTATGTGATTATTAATTTATTCCATCAAAACATACAAGTTACTTAAACTTCATAGAATTGATAAAACGATAAAAACAGTAAAAATAATTGCATAAAAATTAGAACATTCACTGCATCAACTTATCTTCATACAGTAGGCTACACTAGACCTATTCAAAATTGACTCCATCAGTTTTGTTTTTTAGTGAGGTCTCCGATAGAATGAGTCATGTTGAGAACGGCAGGTCAATTTGATATTATTCAAGACAAATATGCATTAATGTCATATTTTGAAAAGAATTAGATTTCATGTTTCTGATAAATTTAATACTTATGATAGAAAACATTCTGAATTGATTCATTGTACTTATACTTTGAAAGTGTTTTTAAGGCACATTTTGTAATGTTATCTTACAGAATTGATTAGAACACAAATAAGAAATGTACCGGTATTAGTTGTTTATTTTAGAGACAATTTTATTCAAAAGGTTCTTGATTTAAAACAATAAAAGTTTCATGTTTGGTCTATATATATATATATATATATATATATAGTAAATAACGAGTCAGATGGTATCAGATATATGCCACAAATTTTATTTTCAGAGTTAGCGAGTACTTTCGACTATAAGTCTTTATCAA